CCTGCTGAAATCATAGCAAAGTTTATTTTTTAGGACTTTTCCTATTGAAAGTGACGATAGCATACTAAATTCACACACAATACACATATGCTAATATTTAAACCCAGGACCTTGTCTGAGGGAGTAAATACTCCAAATTACTACACTCACAGCAGGGTTGATTTAAAAGTGCAATTCAAGCACCTATTAAATGCCATTTATATCTTCATTTCCCAACTCCATATCCAACTTGATTTTTCTGTGCAATTTAAGTTTGCCAATTAAATGCCTTTTTAGGATACTTAATTTGATTGCCTTCTATGTTTGCTGGGATAGCAAACGCTTAAGCAGAGACAGGGCAAAGGACTCACTAGTATAATGGTTTAGAGCAATTGTTTCTCTCATAAAATGTCCTGAATTTGACTATTAGCATCCGTTTAGTGTGTGTCAATTTACCATAGAAAAGATCCTAAAAATAAAATAAAAAGAACGACGGTTTTTTTTGGATCTCAATTACTCTAGCAACTTTTTTTTTTCTTTTTCTACACTGTGTGAATGTGAAACAGTGGATAGAAGTCAAAAACTGTATCTAGGCTTCTAGCTGCAAAAACTTTAAGCGCCCCACAACACATAACCTAGTCACATTTCTGGGGAACAAACAAAAGAATTAAAAATGAATCGGATCAGTTTATACACGGCAATGGCATGCCACCTAGCTAGAGTCTGGAAACTAACTGATGGAAGCTATCTGCTATAACCTATCTTGATGATCAAGTTGTCTCTGAAGTTTGAACTTGAAAAAACTGAACCATTTATGGGTTGAAGAAAGTAGAGCCACACTTGCATTTCCATCCTTCAGGCTCATAATTTGCATATTGAAGTCCAATTTGGTCTGTGGTTGTGGGTATCTGAACTGGAAAACATGGCACACAGCCTTGACATTTGTGCTCACAATTTGGTGGTCTGGAGCCAAGCCTGCTCAGCCCTCTATACTTCCCTTCATTTTCATCATCTACTGGAAGTCCTTCAATGCCTTCAACTCCCTAAAAAAACACACACTTATGCATTATAGCAAAAGAAATAACAAGATAGGGAGAGCCTGAGATGTACCTGTTTTGGGTCAAAGGTTGCATCTTGGGGATGTGGGTTTTGGTCTTGATCAGCTATGTATAGAAACTAATTAGCAACATGGTATGGTGGATATAAGAAAAAACATGTGGACTCAAGTAAATATTACAATAAAAGAATGAAAGGTCAAAAAATGAGGTTTTAGCTAACCTTGTTGATGAGCAAAGTCAGAGGATGTAAAAGGTCTGCTTGTTACACAGACCCAACTCAGAAGACTGGCCACCAGAATAAGGCATGCCCTTTTCTTCATTTTGTTAGAGTCCAAATGGCAATGATGATAATGATGATGGAGATGAACTTTTGTTGTGGGGGACAAATTGCAATGAAAGAAGAATATATATATATATATATATATATAGAGAGAGAGAGAGAGAGAGAGAGAGAGATGCAGACTTGAAAACTGGTGGATAAAGTCACTGAAGAACAAACCAAACCACAAGTGCCTCTGAGGAGGCTCAGCTCATCCTATCCTATTGGTATTTGGTGCCAACAAACCAAATGACATGGAGAGATTGGAATTGGAATTTGAAATGCTCTTCCTTTTTGACAACTCAATCAATCCTAAAGTCTGATGAATCAAGGCAAAATTTATAACTGTGAAAACTGTCTTATTTATCTGAACTTTCCCATTTGAACGTTCATGGTCTATCAACTGCAACCGCCCCTTGTCAAAGCTTCGACTGCAGAGCCTCTGAGTCACTTTGATAAACTTATTAAAGGTCAAGTCTTTTTTGGACAGTTTCACTTCAATGATATTTTCCTACTCCAACTACGCTTTTTAGAGCCATGAATTAAATTGGCTTATGGTAAATTTGCAAAAAGTGCTTGTACCGAATGAAAAATGCCAATAAAACTTCTGCTTTTGTGAATATTACCTGACCTGAGGCACCAATAAGATGTTCACTGATTTAATTAGCCGACTAAAAGGTAATTATAATTTTGACCAGAAAAAAAGGTATTTATTATTAGTTCTTGAGTCAATTTCAAACTCACAGTCAATCTGGCTGTGCCCTCTAAAAGTCTGAGTCAAACAGATGACTTGTCTTGTGTGTTGGGTTTGGTGCTTAGTTCTTGTGATTATATGTATACGGTATAATACTACTTTGTCATTTTCAATCAATTATAGATTGTTCTATGGAAAAATTATCACGCATAAAATGTCGTAATTAATTAAAAATAACAAAATAATGTTATCCCATCTCACACAAGTGTTTCTTATAAAGCACGTGCTTGCTGCTTCACATCATAATCTCTTTTATCATTTCTGGTTATGTTTTGCAGTTAATGAGCTTTTAATTTAGTCACTAAAATTTGACTGAATCTGAAAACTTGTAATTAATTGAAGGTGGTAAAAGCATTTTCTCATTGTCATTTCTGTTTCAAGTTTCAAATGCTACTTTTTTTCTGGTTATCAGACAGAACCAACACACAGACAGCAGGGGCCTCTCTGCTGTACTCTACATGAGCCCCCACTGCCCTCCTACAGCAGGTAGAGACTGCATGACATAATGACACGTGGTGATGAAATTGTGTGCAGATTGCATTCCTTGCATTGCAAGTTGGCACAAATGTACAATTTGTCTGTAACTTTGTCCTTTAGCAGTTGTAGGTAACATGGTGTTATAATGAGGCCGTACACAATCCAGAGCTAGTCTATGACTAAGAGGAGGAGGCTCTAGAATTTGAGCAAGTTTAGCTTCACTAAAACACAGCAAAGTTAGTGTTTTTTTGACCAAACTAAAACAGATGATAATCCAAATAGACAATTTGTATGTGTTTCCTTTCCTCCTTCGTGTCTGTTTTTGGAGTGTGTCAGCGATGATGTTTGATTGAGTTGAGTGACTTGATCACTCGGTTTGTGTTGTCTCTCTCTCTACTCAGACACAAGTGTAACATATAATAAATATATAAAATTATAAAATGATTATATATTGCTGGTATAAGTCTCTGTTCATTTTTTTTTTTCAATAAAAAAAATACAATATTATTTTGTGGGTACGTATTTATTCAAGTATTTGGATATTCTTTGGAGTCAAAATCAGCAACAAAAGAAGGAAAGTGTCAAACAGGAAATAGAAATTATAATATTTCATTCAGCTGTGTCAGCTTCCCGGTATACTATAAATAAAGAATGAATTAAACCCGACCCGACCCAAAAATACATGGGCCAAAATCGGGTTGAGGACAAAAAAAAAAACCATTTGGCTGACTTAGGGCATGTACAAAAAATATTAAATCATAACCTAGAATGATGTAAAACTTATGAAAGAATCAAAGGAAGGAGAAAAAAAATTTGGGTTAGTCCCCTTAACCCCCTCCTTATTGGGCCAGCAAAGTCACCCGTCATTTTGGGCACAAGTGCTCCCTAGGTAATGCTTTTTTGGCCCATTATTATACTGCGACTATCTTAACCCAAGCCCGGGAGCCAAACACGTCCGTCAACCACCTTAGCTGGCTGCGGGAATTTGGGTTCTTGGGCTTGGGAGGCCCATATATGCAAGTCTTGGTGAGAGCCGGACCTTCGGGCTGGGCCTTGGAGAAGGAATTGGGCCATAATGTCCCAACGTTGCGGGAGTGACCCGGGGCGACAGGTTGACTTGTTCCAATGCTCTGGATTGTAGCTCTGCTGGGTAATCCCGGACACACCCAATTCTGGGTCCAGTTCCTGAAGTCCATTTGCATGACAAGCGTTTGCCCAAGTCAAAAACTGGTGGTTTGGCATTGGCAACCAAAACCTTCTTAGTTTCCTCTTGAACGGTTGTGATTGTGGTTTTCTTTGTGATATCATCTGAACTAGTTGTCTTTCCACCGTCTGATTCTGTTGATTTGAATGATTCAAGCTTTGTTGGTTCCCCATCAGTGATCTTCATTGAAGGATAGTCATCATCAATTGCACACCTCTGTGGAAAACCAATAAAAGATCATTAGAAAATTTACCCCAAAAATGTTATGTGAGATTAGCTAGACATGTAAAACATGAACAAATAAATAAAAAATAGTAATTTAATTACCTTAACATTGGAGAGATCTACATGATTTTCTTCTAGGAAGCTGATGAATTCCATGAAGTTTTCTTCTGTTGGGTGATAATGACCACTGTATGGCCAAATAGCCTCAAGAATCCCATCATGGGCAACCAATCTTCCAGCTGCTGTGGTGGCTCCTCCTGCTAGAAAACTGGAGTGTTGAAACTGGCCCTTCTTCTTCTGCCCCACATACAAGGACCTTGTTGTGCTCAGCACAAATATCCATTTGGAACCTGCAATGGTGTTCACAAGCACCCCACTTTGCCTGTATAAAAGCTTCCCATTTTCCACCACTACTTCATATGCTTCTCTCTCTATCTGAAATTTTGCCAACACAAAGGTAACACAATCAGATATCAAAACCATTTGCTTATTTTTTATCCACAACCAATACAAAATTTAAGTTAGCTGTAAATTAAATTAGGATATGGTTTAGAACTTACCGGTCCGAGATACTTGATGCATTGCCGGTGTAGAACTGGCCTGGGACATTTCTCCACAGTTATTTCTTTACCGTCTCCGACATCCAGCCTGCATTATGCAAATTGATCAGTAAGTGGCAATGAAATCATATCAGAAGAAAGTTTGAAGACAATCAACAATTTTATTTATTAAAAAAACAAACTACTTACCAGTAGAAGAAGGGCTGACTGCTCTCACTTTCAAACCAGATATCATAGTAAAAGTGTAAATTGTGTCCATACCGATGTCGTGGATCAATCTGCAGAAAACATCAAGAAATAAATAGATTGATGTTAGACCAATGCTTTACATGAACTAGTTTTGTGAACAATGGTTTACAAGGAACATGAAGTTTCCAATGAAATGTCTAGTCTTATAACAGAGGCCAAAGTAAGGACATGAATATAGGGATGGAGAACTTACAGCTTCAAGCCAGTGTTGAAGAGCCAACTTTTGTGCCTTCTCATCCTTGGACAAACCCTTTCCAACCTGCAATAATTACATGGTAAATATTAATATCCAAATGAATATCCAATTAGCAAAATGAACAAGAGATAAACAGATAGTTTAAGAAGTAGAAAACAAACCTTGGCTGCTCTTGTCCTAGCCCTTGCCCACCGGGAAACAGCAGTTTCCGGTTTCTCAACATTGAAGAATGACACAGAACTCCGCTTGAGAGCTGCAAAATCTAATGCCTTCCACCTAAAGTATTTGAAATAACCAAATTAATCAAACCATTTAATGTAAAATTAAAAAACTGAAATCAAACAAAATTTCATTGGCAAGAAATTACTAGGAGACTCACCATAGCTCCTCAACCACCACAGCACAATCTGCCAGGTTTCTTCGAGTTCGATAACTCTTGTAAACCTTTTGAAGCTTAACTGCGGCAGCATCAAGCTCACTAACGGGCCTTGGTGAAAAGAAAACTGGGTTTTCAGGCACAGCAAGTGCAGGCATTGGTTTATGCTTCAAATCATTTTTGCCTTTACAAACATCTGTGGCCATTTCCTGCCTGTCTTGAACAAGACCCTTGAACGAAAGATTTCTGTCAAGTGTTACATTTTCAGGCTTGCAATCCCTCAAACGAGTTGAATTGTTGGTCCCCAATTTGTTAGAACTATTCGAAACAATGGTGGTTTCTGGTTCTGTTTTCTTGAAGCTATCTGTTTTCTTGAAGCTATGTGTTCTCAATATCACATGAGCACCTCCATCTCTGGGACTGAAACGGATGTTGTATGTCAAATCAAAGAAACTATGCTTTACAATCTCCTCCCAGGCTGACGCAAGTAATGAGAGGGATAGCCCCATAGAATTGCTGAAGAAGGCTTCAAGTCTAAAGAGGCAAATTTTACCTGCTCAATATGATCACAAAATAGGTATTATTAGTATACTAAAGATTAGATTGTAAGAAGAACTCGAAAAAAAAAATCTCAAGCCCTCATGAACATGCCAATGTTCTGATTCTTTGATTTGAAGACACAGTAAATTTAAGGTGGTCCCTTTCAAATGAACAACTTTTCTGAAAAAACTAAGAACTGAAACAGAGGCAAGCTGCTTAACCATCAAAATCCCAAAACACTTGGATTGAAACAAACCTACAAATTGGGTAACAGAATTGGGAGATGAATCAATATCTTACCTGAAATGGGATTGTTCAGAATGTCCTAAAAAGGGTTGTGTTTGAATTCAGAGAGCAAATCCTCACAAGTAATGAGATTATGA